TGTACTCCAGCCAAATCAGAGTTAAAATAACTTACCCCGATGAATTTCTTGAAAAACCTTTGAAAAATCATCAAAATCCGATCTCTCTAGGTCAAAATATTAAATAAAACCCAAAACCTCATATTTATAGAGTACCGCTCAGATTTCAGCCACCACGGGCCGCATCAAATCGACCGCGGTCCGCGCTAGCCAGTGCGGTCCGCGCAAAAACAACTGCGGCCGCACAGGCCTTCCTCTGCAGTGACAAACTTTATTATTTTGACTTAGTTTTCGCTACAGATGTCCAAATTGGGATATCCTTACCTTCTGGAAACTAGACACGAAGTACTACAACTTTCATTTTTGAATCACCTCAAAATTCCTTGTAGATCAAAAGATATGAGCTTCCGAAGTAGGACCAGTGGGAAGGTTCTTAACCGCAGCCACGCCCACTTTTGTGCGGTCCGCGCGATGCCTACTGCGGCCGCGTCCGCTTTTGTGCGGTCCGCACAGCACTCACCGCGGGCGCACTTATTTTTGTGCGGACCGCTTGAGTGAGTTCTGGAATCCTGGAACCTACCCGGAACTCCCAGAACTTCAAACCAATTGTACCAACACATCCCATGACATCATTAAAACTTGCTCAAAACTTCAGAACGCCCACAACAACATCCAATCACCAATTTAACATAGGATCCAAGCCTAAGAACTCCAAAAACTCTTAAATTATGCTTTCACTCAAAACGTCTATCAAATCTTGTCCGAATGACCTGAAATTTTGCACACACATCCCAAATGACACAAGGAAGCTACTGCAACTCTCAGAATTTCATTCTGACCTTTATATTAAAATCTCACCTATCAACCGGAAAGCGCCGAAATCTCAATTTTGTCAATCCAAGCCTAATCCTTCCACGGACTTCCATAATGCATTCCGATCACACTCCTAAGTCCCAAATCACTTAACGGAGCTAACCAAATCATAAAAATTTCAATCCGAGATCAAATACACATAAGTCAAATCTTGGTCAAGCCTTTCAAATTTTAAGCTTTCAACTGAGACTGTTATTCCAAATTCATTCTGATTAACCTGAAACCCAACACCAACGATTTACATAAGTCATAATCACACGGGGTAAGTCATGCCCGAAAACTGGCGAGCGAAGTGCAAAAGCTCAAACGACTGGTCGGGTCGTTACAGGGCGGGGCGAGTTCTGTCTGAACCCGCAAAATTTAAACCCGCCCCACCCTACCCCGCATAGGATTTAAACCCGCATACACCCACCCCGCACTCCACCCGCATTCACTCGCACCCGCATTTGTTTTTCTTAATAAAATTTCTTTCTTTTTTAGAAAGCTAGACTTAAATTTAATTTTTTACTACATAAGCCAAACGTTTTACGTGTTTATGTTTTGGCAATTACTAATTGGCCATACTTTTATATTTTGCTAAATTTGTAATAAGAAAAATGCCTTTGTACTTTATGGAGATAAGGACTGAGCAGTGTGTTGCGTTTGGCTTTCTATGTGCTATAATTGTTTGTTTCCTCTTTTCACTGCATGTAAGTAGGCAAAGTGATTTTATTATTGAATTGAATGGTTACCCCACTCCCTTTTCTCCACATGAATACTAAATTCTTGACTTAGAAATGTTTAAGTGGTTTGCAATTGTAATTGTTCAATCTAGGACTCAATTACTCAAAAAATATTTGAAGTGACTTAAAATCTTATTTTTTCTATGTTGAATATAGTACTCATGCAAGCACTTAAAATGGACAAGGCAGTGTAAAACTTTCGATAATTAAAAGCTACCAAAATGCAAATTTCAGACAAAGTTCATACCAAATATGTTTGAAATTCCTACCAAATGCATGTGACATAACTCGATCAAGGAAGGACTTGTCTCAATGATAAACAGTCAGACTAACAAGATTGTTTCACAAGCCAATTAAAAACTATTTCCCAGGAAAAAGCAAAGCATCAACTAGGCTAAACATTAAGCAAAATAGGTATAGAAATATCAGAAGAAACTCTACATTTATCGACACAGGTCCCATTGAGCAGGCTGCTGTGGGAGTTTCAATTGTTGTATTCAATCAAGCGTCAAAGATTGCAATAAAAGCAAGGAGCAGAATGAAGGAGATGCATCATCTCAGATGCTGAAGCAATAGATACAGAATGTCAGAATCAGAACTCAATGCCAGAACCAACAATGTTGGACCATAGACCATAGTGTTGAAGCAAAAACACTTATCAAAAGGCATAGAAGCAGTAGCTTTAACAAACTACAATGTCTATTCAGCAAGACAGCAAGTCTATACTCTAACAAAATCTATCAATAGATGACATTCTCTTCCTCTTCTATTGACCACTTGAATCCGGCTCTTCCTCTTCGTCAAGTAATGTTGGACATGAAACTTTGTCGACTGTTGAAGCCAAACCTAAAAGAAACATATATAGTATTAAAAATTGAAAATCACTATTAACATTACAAGTCATTGAAAAAATCACTTACCATTTATTTCATTCCATAACCAAGTGCGAGCACACATTAAAGCCTCCAAAGTAGTAGGATGAAGTCTACTAAGATGCGGACTAATCAATCTTGCACTAGTAAATGCAGATTCTGAAGCAACGGTAGAGACAGGAATGGCTAAGAGGTCACGAGCCATTTTTTGTAAAGTAGGAAATTTCAATCTGTTTGTCTTCCACCGACTTAAAGTGTCAAATGATGGTGTGCGGGGTAGCACATTTTCTTCTAAATAAGAATCCAATTCCGATCTTGTGTCCACGTTCGAGCTACTCGACGCGACAAACCTATCAAAACTAGAAAGTCGGTCACCCTCAACATGACCAACAACTTCACTAGAACTAGATGTTTGGGATGACTCAGCTCCTCTACTCTTATATTCTTGAAAGAGATCAACACAATAGTTTTGCACTTCTTAAATTTTATTTGAAGCAGCTTCTCCACCATAAATATGTGTAAGATAGAACTCCACCAACCTCATCTTATACTTTGGATCAAAGATAGCAGCTACACCCATCAAAATATGCACTTTATCCCAATATTTCTTAAATTTCAACAACATTGATGATGCCATAGAGCTAATCAAAGGATTTAAACTTTTTACCAAGGCTTCCAATTCTAGCTTAATATCACAAACTTTAGAAAAGTATAGAGTAGAAGTGGGATATTGAGTCCCTGAGAACTCTTCAGTGATATGATAGAAAAAAGCTTTAATATATTACAAACTTTTTTCGCTACACTCCATTGCCCTTCGGTTGGAAAACAACGATAACTAAGGTCACTTAGGCTCAATTTCATAAACACATCTTTGTATTCCAGGGCTCTTCTCAACATTAGATATGTTGAGTTCTACCGAGTAGGGATATCATACTCTAACTTTTTGTTACAAGAAATATGTAGCAATCGTGCAGCTTCTTCAAACCTTTCGATTCTGCCTGAAGACCATATCCAATATAAGACATTGTCACGCACATTATTAGTACTATCTTGTATCACCTTTAGTCCTTCTTGCACAATCAAATTCAAGACATGTGCGGCATATCGTACATGTAACATTCGACCCATCAACGATAAATCCCTTTTACAAAGTTTCTCATCTAGTAAGGTTTTCATCATAGCATTGTTTGTGCTACAATTATCAACTGTAATTGTTGAAATTCTTCTTTCAAGATTCCACTCTAACAAGCAATTAAACAACGCACTACATAAAGTATCCTTATCATGTGGAGCAGGAACATAAACAAATCTAAGAATATGGCTTTGAAGTTTCCATGAATCATCAATAAAATGTGTTGTAATAGCCATGAACCCTTTTTAGTGTTGTCTGAAGTCCACATATCAGTTGTTATTGCAATTTTACTTGTAAGTTTTTCCAATAACATAGAAGTTTTTGATTTCAAATTGTCAAAAATCTTCAGTATATCATTCTTGATTGTGTTCCTAGACACCATTTTGAACAACGGTTGGAGACTAGCAACAAACTTCCTAAATCCTACATGATCAACAATGGACAATGGATACTCGTGCAAAATGATAGCATGAGCAAGCTCTTTGCGTGAAACATCTTGATCAAAATAGTGTTGTTGACTACCATCACCCCCCGAACTACCCTCATTGTCTAAGTTACTTGGCTTTTTGCGACATTGACTACGGATATGATCTAACATGTACAATGTCCCACAATTTCTTGTTGATTTGATACAAGTATTACAATACTTACAAACACCAAAACGAACACCATTAATCATCACCGGTGTAAAATGATTCCATGCATCAGAAATACATTTTATGTGTTTTCAGGGAAATTCTCGAAGTTGTGGAGACAAGTTGGAAGCACGAGCACTAGCAAAGGAGAGCAACCATGACGAGCGTCCGCAACGAGCGGTGGGAAGCGGTGCGTGAGTGTACAACTACATCAAGTACAACAAATCAATACAGGTTTGGTTCTCGGGAGTTGGTACCTCCTTTTCTACTGTTTCCCTTTTGGTGTTCGCTAAATTGATGTTACTTTGGTTCGCAATAGTTCAATCATTCTACTAGCGTACTTGTAGTCACTTGTTTCCTTCTACTTTGATTCGTTGTGCACTAGTGAGTCTTCTTGAGATTTGTCGTAGGTGTAGTGGCTGCAATCTGGGATGATAGATTAAGGTCATGTACTCGGGTGGGACAAAGTGGGGGGCCGGGGTCAGGGTGTGGGACAGGATGTAGGGGAGGTATAGGGGGCAAGGGAGCCTATAGGTTAAGAATCGGGTCATGGATCATAGGTTCGCTAACGAGTAAGTCTATAGAGTTGGAGAAGATACTTCAGAAGAGGAAGATTAATATAGCGTGTGTCCAGGAGACTAGGTGGGTTGGATCTAAGGCGAAAAATGTGGATGGGTATAAGTTATGGTACTCTAGAGTCCTGAGGGGTAAGAATGGAGTGGGTATTCTGGTAGATAACCATCTTAGAGAGTCGGTGGTAAAGGTTAGGCGGGTGAATGATAGACTAATGACTATTAAATTGGTGGTGGGTGAGTGTACTTTAAATGTCGTTAGCGCGTACGCACCGCAAGTAGGCCTGGATGAGGAGATTAAAAGGCGTTTTTGGGAGGGGTTGGATGACATCGTTCGTAGTATTCCACCTTCGGAGAGGTTATTCGTAGGAGGAGATTTCAATGGTCATATTGGGTCGTCGGCAGTTGGTTATACTGAGGTTCATGGCGGCTATGGTGTCGGGGAGCGGAACGGAGGGGGCACTTCGCTTTTGGACTTTGCCAAGGCATTTGATCTAGTGATTGCGAACTCAAGTTTTCTGAAGCGGGATGAGCATTTGGTTACTTATAGAAGTTCGATGGTGAAGACTCAGATTGACTATCTCCTCCTCATGAGATGTGACAGACGGTTATGTGAGGATTGCAAAGTTATCCCAGGTGAGACCCTAGCAACGCAACATAGGCTTTTGGTGATGGACATTGGTATTAGGATAAGGAGGAAGAAGAGGTCAGTACGAGGCCGTCCGAGGATTAGGTGGGGACGCCTTGACTAAGGATAAAGCTCAGGAGTTGGAAGGAAGGTTATCAGCAATGGCGGCTTGGAGAAGTAGTGGGTATGCAAACACTATGTGGTCGACGACGGCTGATTGTATAAGGAAGGCGGCGAGAGAGGTTTTAGGGATATCTTCGGGCCGCATCGGTGGCCACAAAGGAGACTGGTGGTGGAATGCAGTTGTCCAAGATAAAGTGGAAGCGAAGAAGGCGGCTTACCTACGGTTCGTAGGGATCTCTGGAGAGGAGGGGAGGAGAGCGAACAGTGAGAGATATAAGGTAGCTAGGAGGGAGGCGAAGATGGCAATAATGGAGGCTAAGACGGCAGCTTATGCTCGTCTGTATGAGGAACTAGGGAACAAAGGAGGGGAGAAGAAGTTATTCTGACTAGCTAAGGTGAGAGAGAGGTCGTCTCGGGATCTGGACCAAGTGAGGTGCATAAAAGATGATGACGGCAAAGTTTTGATGGGGGATGACCAGATTAAGAGGAGATGGCAGACCTACTTTCATAAACTTCTAAATGAAGAAGGGGATCAAGATATTGTGCTAGGTGAATTGAGGAGTGCCAACAGCCCACATGAACTAAGTTATGGTGGGGACATTGAGGTAGATGAGGTCATGGAGGCAATGCGTAAGATGAGGAGGGGCAGAGCTACCGGGCCAGACGAAATTCCGGTTGAACTTTGGAGGTGTGTGGGTAGAGCAGGCTTGGAATGGCTTACTGGGTTGTTTAATGTTATATTCAAGACTAATAAGATGCCTGAAGAGTGGAGGTGGAGTACAATGGTTCCGCTGTATAAGAACAAAGGCGATGTTCAGAGCTGTAACAACTATAGGTGTATCAAATTACTGATCACACCATGAAAGTCTGGGAGAGAGTGGTAGAAATGAGAGTGAGAAGGACGGTTTCTATTTCAGATAACCAGTTCGGGTTCATGCCAAGGTGATCTACCACAGAAGCTATCCACCTTATTAGGAAGATGATGGAACAATACAGGGATAAGAAGAAGGATCTCCACATGGTGTTTATTGATTTAGAGAAAGCGTACGACAGGGTTTCTAGGGAGGTCCTATGGAGATGCCTAGAGGTTAAAGGGGTCCCGGTTGACTACATTAGGGTGATTAAAGATATGTATGATGGAGCTAAGACTCGAATTAGGACAGTAGGAGGCGACTCCGACCATTTTTTGGTTGTTACGGGATTGCATCAAGGGTCTGCGTTCAGCCCTTTCCTATCCTAGTGATGGATACCATAACGCATCATATTCAAGGGAAGGTTCCATGGTGCATGTTATTTGCTGATGACATAGTCCTAATTGACGATACACGACGTGGCATCAACGAGAGGCTAGAGGTTTGGAGACATACCCTTGAGTCTAAAGGTTTCAGGCTGAGCAGGACNTGAATACCTCGAGTGCAAATTTGGGGCCGAGCCGACGGAAGCAAGAGTGGAAGTAAGGCTCGACTCACAAGTCATTCCTAAGAGGGGGTAGTTTCAAGTACCTTGGGTTAGTTATTTAGGGGGCCGGGGAGATCGACGAGGATGTCACACATCGTATAGGGGTAGGGTGGATGAAGTGGAGGTTAGCAACGGGAGTCTTGTGTGACAAGAAAGTGCCACCGTTACTAAAAGGTAAGTTTTACAGAGCAGTGGTTAGGCTTGCTATGTTGTATGGGACCGAATGTTGGCCGGTTAAAAATTCACACATCTAAAAGATGAAAGTAGCAGAGATGAGGATGTTGAGGTGGATGTGGGGGCATACAAGGATGGACAAGATTAGGAATGAAGTTATTCGAGATAAGGTGGGCGTGGCCCCCATGGAGGACAAGATATGGGAAGCAAGACTCAGATGGTTCGGACACATTCAGAGGAGGAGCACTGATGCGCCAGTGAGGAGGTGTGAGCGACTGGCTGTGGTGGGCATGAGGAGAGGTAGAGGGAGACCTAAGAAGTAATGGGGGAGGTGATTAGGCAGGACCTAGCACGACCTAGGATTTCTGAGGACATGGCCCTTGACAGGGAATTGTGGAGGTCGAGCATTATGGTTGTAGGTTAGGGGGAAGTCTGTGAGTATTACTACAGCGCACTAGTGTAACACTAGCCATTTAGGAGTTTGTCTTACGAGGCTACTGATCGGCTACGGGTGTAGGGCTTGTGTCGGTTGGATATTCGTATACCTTACATCCTTTTCTCCATCCTTTTTCGTATTTCCTATATTTCTTATATTGTTGTTATTCTGTTATTGTATGTTATGTATTTTATGTTATTTATTATGACTCTATTGATAGTACTAATATATTGTCTCTTTGTTGCTCTCTTGAGCCGAGGGTCTCCTGGAAACAGCCTCTCTACCCTTCGGGGTAGGGGTAAAGTCTGTGTACATACTACCCTCCCCAGACCCCACTGGTGGGATTATACTGGGATGTTGTTGTTGTTGTTTCCCAGTTTCATCAAAAACTTCATCAACTTGCATATGCAATTGACTGTCACTCTCTATAGGAAAAGTATTAGAAGATGAACCAACCAGATTCTCTTCATTTTGAGACTCCATACTTTTCTAGAAAAAAGAAGCTAAATTAATATTATGAGACATTTCTAAGTGCACATGGAAAATGAAAAAAGAGTCAATTAATTAGTAAATCCAAATTAGTCAGTTATACTCAGTTTGATCCAAAAGAGTCAAATAATTACATTACATACAACTACAACAGAATAATGCTTGCAACTCTGTGAGCTAAAAATCAGCAATAATGAGGCAAGCCCATTTATCTTTAGATGTAATATAAGTATGTAATTCACATGTCAACTACAATCAACAGCATTATTGACAGAATTTTAGTTTTATTTCAACATAAATTGACATGAGCCTTAAATTAAGCTACATCAATGAGTCAAATTAAGCTACTATAAACTTCTTTTTTTCTTCTGAAGATTATGTTTATTGGATTGATTTCCGGATTCTGAATATAGTGATAATTCCTGTAAGCACCAAAAAGAATCAAATTCAGCAATCAACAATAAACAGTAATTTAAGACAATAAAAAGGCAGAGAAAAGAACCGCTGGAGAATCAAACAGGAGAAAGTCGTCGACGGTCCACCTTCAGAGAATTGAAGAACCACTGGAGAATCAAACACCGTGTTACGGCCGAAAACAAGAGTTTGAGAGAAAAATTGAGACAAGAGTTTGAGAGTCGACGACGAGTACCTATTCACGAGGACGAAGGAGCGTCTCTGCGTCCGTCGTCTAAGATAGAATGAGAGATGAGTCGTTTAAGTCTAAGTGAAATTGGGAGTATTTGGGACTAGGGTTTTAAATATTATTCAGCCTTTTAAAATTAAATCCTCACCCGCGACCCGCCCCGCCCCGCATATTTGTTTTTAATTTAAAATTGAACCCTCCCTACAACCGCAAAATCTCAAACCGACACCGCCCCGCTAACGTTCAAACCTGCCCCTCCCCACACCCGCACCGCCCCATTTCCATCCCTACTTATAGGGCTGGACGGTTATTTTATTCACTATATTGAGAGGGTTGAGTCAGTATCAGCAGATGAGCATATCTTCAGATTTTCTTTGACTCCCAGTTGTTTTCAGTTATTATATTATCAGTTTAGTTTCAGCTTCAGTATATTGCCTTACAAACTCGGTACATTATTTCGTACTGACGTCCCTTTTTGGGGGCGCTGCATTTCATGCGTGTATGTTCAGATAGACAGACGGGTAGACCTCCTCAGTAGGTGTTGCCCAAGTTCAGCTTTATTGGTAAACTCCCCTTCTTTTAGAGTTGTCGGGTCTATTAGTGTGGTGTATATCTAGTGTATATATGTAGATAGGTTATGGGTAGGTCAGGGCCCTGTTCGATCACAGTATATCTATCAGTAGAGGCTTGTAGACATATCATGTCGGTTAGTGTAGTATGCTGGGATTGTAGGCCATGTACGTATATTTTGTTGACTTATCAGTTGTAGTAATTATGACGTCCTTGCTAGCCCAACTTTATGTTGACATTCATTAGCGTTAGTCTCCATTTAGTTTTATATTTTGTATCGCACGTTATCTTGTAATGTGGCCCATAGCCAAAGTATGACATTACATGTTCAGAGTCTCTTAGTCGCAAGTGGTACGCAAGGATAGATGAGGCAGTAGGTGTCGGTCTCGCCCTTGGCCCGGGGCATGACAATATTAAGGTTTTAAGGTCCTTTTTATGGAAGGTTTCATCATCCCACAACCCATCTTTTACCATTTTTGGCTCACAATCTTTCTACACACTCTTATCACATATGCATGCAAGATAAACAACCCTCATACCCATGAACCATCTTACTAATTATCCACTTTTAGTTAATTTTCGAAATTAAGGGCTAGGGTATAGATTCTTACCTCTATGATGAAGACTTAGTGAGCTTTACTTGATGATCTTCAAGGATTGTTGGATAATGGGTTGAAGGTTACCCCCCCACCCCCCAACTCTAAGAACTCTTTCTCACTCTAAAAGTATCAGAAAATAAGCTCAAAATGGACTATGCATATTTTTTAACGAAATAGAGTTGGGTTTAAAAATTAGAAAAATAGGATCCCCGATACAGTTCTGCGGTCGCATATACGACTGCATAATGCTTCTACGATTCGCAAAATAGGCCATATAATGGCCCTCGGGAACTAGCATTTTCTACTTTAGTCTGCGACAGGTTTGCGGTTCGTAAACCTATTTTGCGATTGCATAATGCGCCGCAAAATATTCCTCCGAGAATTTCTATATGGGGTTTGCGATGGGTTATGCGGCCCATAAAACAATTATGGCGACCGCATATTGGTCCAAAATTTAGCTCAGATCTCTACTTTACTCCGCGACAGATCTGTAGTCGCAAAATTGGCCTCACAAAATGCCCTGAACTTCCGAAAATTTTCATCAGCTCACCAAGACACTGCTCAGCCCAAAAAGTATATGCTTCTCTACTATCTTTAACACATAAGCCTAACTCGGCACCACAAAGTTTTGGGTTTTCATGTAAATTTTTATGGGGCCTTACATCTTCCCCCACTTAAGATAATTTGTCCTCAAATGCACCATTAGCATCCGATGCAACTCAATTACCATACTACATACCAACAGCCCCAAAATTTTTACTAACTCCCAAAATTTCTGAAAACGTTGCTAGAGTTTCTTTTGTAACTGGGCCTATCCACCTGTTAGAGAGCCCTAGAAACACATCCTAACAATATGTATATGATCCAATGACATAACATAACACAAAATGACACCAATCGTGGCCTCATAAGCAACATATAACCAAAAAGGAACACATTTACATCAACTAAACAAGTGATACAAAATTCAGAGGAAGTAACATCATAGAAAATATTACATAGCTATTGAAACAAATAAGGGTACTTCTTTTTCATTTCTTCCTCGGCTTCCCAAGTAGCCTCTTCAACCTGCTGGTTTCACCATAGCAGTTTCACAGAGGCAATTTCTTTATTTCTCAACTTTCGGACTTGCCTATCAAGAATGGCAACTGGAATTTCTTCATATGATGGTTCTTCACTAACCTCGATAGTTCAACTGGCACAATAAGCGACAAATCCCCGATTACTTTCTTCAACATAGACACGTGAAATACCGGGTGCACTAATGACATCTTCGGTGGTAGCTCAAGCTTGTACGCCACCTGACCAATCCTCTAAATGATTCTATACGGCCCGACATACCTCGAACATAATTTCCCTTTCTTTCAAAACATCATTATACCCTTCATGGGGAAAACCTTCAAGAATACCCAATCATCTTCTTTGAACTCCAAGTCTCTGCGACGAACATCCAAATAGGACTTTTGACGACTCTGAATAGTTTTTAACCGCTCCTTAATGATCTTAACCTTTTCCATGGCTTGATGCACGAGGTCTGGCCCTATCAACTCGGCTTCCCTAATCTCGAACCACCCAATGAGAGATCTATATCTCCTACCATATAACGCTTCAAATGGTACCATCTGAATACTAGCATGACAGCTGTTGTTGTAAGCAAATTTTATGAGTGGCAAATGATCATCCCAGCTATCTTTAAAGTCAAGAACACAAGAACGCATAATGTCCTCAAGCGTCTGAATAGTCTGCTCTGCCTGTCTGTCGGTCTTTGGATGAAAGACTGTACTAAGATTCACCTGAGTACCCAAACCTTGCTGAAATTTCTTCCAAAATTTAGCCGTGTACTGAGCTCCTCGATCAGAAATGATAGAAACTAGAGTGCCATGCAAACTGACTATTTCCTTGATATACAACTGAGCATACTATTCTGCTGTGTTGGTAGATTTAACTGGTAAGAAGTGTGCTGATTTCGTGAGTCAGTTCACAATCACCCAAATTGAGTCAAACTTGCATGGAATGCATAGTATCCCTACCACAAAGTCCATATTAATCATTTCCCACTTCCATATTAGAATTTCTATATTCTGTGCTAACCCACCGGGCCTTTGATGCTCGGCCTTCACTTGTTGACAATTTGGAAATTTTGCCACAAAGTCCGCCACATTCCTCTTCATGTGATTCCACCAATAGACTTGTTTAAGATCTTGATACATCTTTGTAGAACCCGGATGCACGAACTACCTAGTAGTGTGAGCTTCAGCCATGATTCCTTCCCGAATACCATATACATTTGGAACATATAGTTGCCCTTAGTACCGTAGTGTACCGTCATCCAAGCCAAGAGAAAAGGTTGTGATATTATGTTTATGAATCCCCTACTTCAGTTGTACCAACAATGGATCGTCATATTGTTTCTCCTTGACCTTTGCCACAAGCGATGATTCAACTCTATTTTACACGACCCCACCTTCACTAGAGTCCGCACGACGAACCCCTAAGCTAGCCAAATGATAAACCTCCTTCGCCAACGGCCTTTGATATGCCCCTAAGTGAGCCAAACTACCCATCAATTTCCGGCTAAGATTATCTGCCAGAATATTAGGTTTTCCTAGGTGATATAGAATATCGATGTCGTAGTCCTTGAGTAACTCAATCCATCTTCTCTGCCTCAGATTCAGCTCCTTCTGTTTGATGATATATTGAAGGCTCTTATGATCCGTGAATATATCCACATGGACCCTATACAAATAATGATGCCAAATCTTCAATGCAAAACCATTGCCGCAAGTTCTAAGTCATGTGTTGGATAGTTCTTTTCATGGTTCTTGAGTTGCCTAGAAGCATATACTATAACCCTGCCATGTTGCATTAATGCACACCCAAGCCCGATCCTTGAAGCATCAAAATATACAACAAACCCATCTATACCTTCTAGTAGGGTCAACACCGGCGCCATAGTCAGTCTTGATTTCAACTCCTGGAAGCTACTTTTAGAAGCATCGGACCATTGGAACTTAACCGCTTTCTGCATCAATTTAGTTAACGGAGAGGCAAGAGTAGAGAAGCCCTCCACAAACTTCCTGTAATACCTTGCTAAGCCCAAGAAATTGCGAATCTCTGTTGGAGTTGTAGGTCTAGGCCAATTCTTCACCTCTGCAATCTTTTGAGGATCAACCTTAATTCCTTCTCTGGATACAGCATGACCCAAGAATGTAACAGATTTAAGCTAAAATTCACATTTCAAAAACTTCATATACTATTGGTGCTGATGAAGAGTCTGCAGAACTGCCCTAAGATTATCAGCATGGTCCTCTGGACTTTGTGAATACACAAGAATATCATCAATAAAAACTATCACAAAGGAGTCAAGAAAAGGCTTAAATACTCGATTCATAAGGTCCATGAAAGCTACCAGGGCATTTGTTAGCCCAAAAGACATCACCAGAAATTCAAAGTGCTCATACCGAGTCCTGAAAGCTGTTTTCCGAATATCCAGCTCCCTGATCTTCAACTGGTGATACCCGAACCGTAAATCAATTTTGGAGAAGTACCTAGCACTATGTAATTGATCAAACAAATCGTCTATCATTGGTAGTGGGTACTTATTTTTTATTGTGACTTTGTTGAGCTGCTGGTAGTCAATATGCATCCGTAGCGATCCATTTTCTTTCATAA